CCTGGGCCAGGCTCCTGGCAGGCGGGATCAGTGGGCCTCAGCACCTTCCCTCCGTGGGCGATGAGAGGTCAGGGGAGGCGAGGCAAGAGCTGGTGGGGAGCGCTCACAGGAAGGGGGCGGGGCTCCCCCCCTGGGTACCTCGGGCTCCCATTTGGCCCACGGTGGGGGACAAGGTCCTGCTTAGGATGGAGAGTCCTATGATATTTTAGCCCTGCCACTGCTGCCTCCGCCCGTCACCCGTTGCCCGGAGGTAAGAAGGGGCGGAGGGTGGGGTGGAATCAGCCCCGGCCCCGCCCTGAGTTATCTCGGACTGGGCCCCCCCCCCGCCCCCCCAGCCTCTCCCGGATACCAGGTCGTCGAAGGGCCATGTCTGGACTCCTGTCCTTGGCTCTGAAATAAGTCTGTAGGGGTGCTGAGGTGGGTGGTAGCTGTCAGTAGGGGTGGACCACGCGGGTCACTGGTGTGGCTGGGCCAGCGTCTACCTGCTTCTGGACCTTGCCAGCTGCCCTCTCCCTGGCCCCTCTGCTCTGCTGCCACTTGGGGCTCCCAGGCATCCAGCAGTTTCTGAAGGGGCCCCACCCCCAAGGTCCTCAGCCTGGGGCTGGGGGCACTCAGGCTCTGTAGTTCTCTGTTATCCTGCCCCCGAGCCAGCTGCCCCTTTCCCTGAGAGCCAGATCCGGGTGTCCTCTCCCCAGGCCTCTTGCTTTTAAGGGCTCAGATCCTCTCTTATCAGGAATAGGAAGTAGGCGTGTCTCTGAGGCCTGAGGGTGTCCCCAGCCCCCTCCCCCCAGGGGTGTGTATGTGGGGGGGTGTCTTAAAGGGCAGGTTTCTGCACCCTATTCCCTGTTACATACCCTGCCTGTGTGGTGGTGGTGGGGGGAGGAGGGGGCCCTCAGTGGGGGGCAGCAGAATGGGGCAGGTATTGTCAGCAGACCCTGGGGAGAATGGGGGGTGGTGGCACTGGGGGCCTCCAATCGAGGCTTGACTGTGTAGGGCTAGGTTGAGAAAAGGCCCCGCCCCCCAGTGGGGGGAGACTTCGCTAATAACTATAAGATGGCTAAGTGACCTTTGACCTGAACCCCCAGGAGGGCAAGGGTAAGGGTGCTCTAGGCAGAGACTGGCAGGGGTGAGGGCCAGCTGGAGGTGGACATGACCTGCACAAAAGGCAGAGCGAGCGAGCGAGGAGCAGACAGTTGCTGGCGTTGGTGCCCTGTCATTGGGCCTTGAAGGCGGTGATGACCGAGGAGGCCAGGGTCTCTGGCTGCCGCGAGGGGTGCAGTGTGCAAGTGTGCGGGCTCCCCTCCCACCCTTCCTGCCCCAAATCCTGTCCAGGTACAGAACCAGCTGCATCTGGCCTTGGAATCCTGCCTGGAGGGCCTGTGACTCACCCTTTCCAGACCCTAGGGCCCTTCTGTCCCTGGCCATCTCCCTTCCCGAGGTGAGGCCATGGCCCAGCACAGACCTGGCTGCTGACAGTGACCGACCGACCGGTGAGAGGTGGGAGGCGGCAAGGAAGAAGCTACTACCCGTGCCCCCTCCTGGATTACCTTGGCCAGCCGAAGGCTCATGCCATCGCAGGGCAAGTGGATCTCCCTGCCACTCAGGCTCGGGAGGAAGCTGAGGGGTGGGTTCCACCTGACCAAAGGCCCATCGAAGCGGCACGCACCGTTGGCCCATGGGATTCCCGCTCTGTCCCAGCTGGCTACAGCCCTCCCTGGGTTCAAGGGAAGATTCAAAGTCCTCCCTGCCTGCCCACCCCGGCGTGGGCTTCCTCACCCAGCCCTCTGCGGCTTTGTGCTGTGGGTAGGCCCGTGCCCCTTTTGTTTTGTTTTAAAGGCATTTTAGTCCGTGGCCGCTGCCCTGGACATGGTCTTGTTAAATTCCCACAACAACCTGAGGCGGGGTGTCAGCGCTGTGGGTGAGGAACTTGAGACAGGGACTTTCAGTCACTCTCCTGCGGCCATCACATGGCTTTTGTGGCAGCACTTGTGAGGCCTGCTCCCAGGAGTTAGGTCTGCGGGTGTGTGTGTGTGTGTGTGTGTGTGTGTGTGTTGGGGGTGGGGCTGGGCTTTCCCTCCCACCCCAGACAGCTGCCTGTCCCCAAGGAAAGGGCCTGGGGCAAGGCCTGCTTTGGCTAGGGGCAGAGCCGGGGGAGCTGTCAGGGGTAGAAAATGAGCCTTGTGGCTATGTGTATGTGTTCACAGAAGCCAGGGGATGAGGGGCACTAGGGTAGTTCATGGGCGGTGGGTCCCTGGGGCATGAGGGTCGGGACCATGTGCTCAGAGGGGCTAATGCTACTGCTGTCGGACAGAACAGGGGCTTATGATAAGCCCCATTTTACAAGCCGGGCCGCTGAAGCCCACTCAGGGACAGACTGTGCCAGGGTCCCTAAGATGCCGTACCTTGAGGACTCAATTCCAGGTCTCAGAGAGGCATGCAGACGAGGCAGGTCTTTAATTTTGTCCTCAGACTGAGCTGCCCACGGGAGTCGCACTGGAAGGCTTTCAAATGCGCAGGCCCCACCTCCGTGGTAGGTGGGCCCCCAGTAGGGCAGTGGAGGACGCACAGTGGACTGTAGCGCAGTTGTGAGGCAAGGTCAGCGGCTCAAGTCCACCAGCCACTCTCCTGGGGAGAAAGAGGACGCTTTCGCGGCGTCTCCGAAGCCCACCGGGACAGTTCTTCCCTGCCCTATAGGGTCGCTAGGAGTCGCTGGCCGTGAGTTTGGAGTTTGGAGGTGGGAGCTTGACAGGGAAGGGAGGGAGACCCTCCGGGGCCGCGAGAGGTGTGGAAGAGGCTTGTCTTCTCTGCTTGCCCCAACCGCCCATGCCTGACCCCTGTAACCCCAGCTCCTCTTGTCTGCCAGGCCATGGTGGCGTGTTACCCAGGCAACGGGCTGGGGTACGTGAGGCACGTAGACAATCCCCACGGCGACGGGCGATGCATCACTTGCATCTATTACCTGAATCAGAACTGGGACGTCAAGGTAGGGCCTCCTGCACACGCTCCCGTCCTTCCACGCCTCCAAGAGCCTCGGTTCTCTTGGTCCCTGTCTTTCCACCCGGGCAGTGCCATCTGCTGGCCCCTCCTGGGAATGGCCGCTCCCCTTCCCCTCCGGTGGACTGTGGGGTGAGAACTCCCCCCCCCCCTCCAGGAAATGGTGCCGGCTGCCCAGCCCCGCCCCGCCTTGTCACGAACACTTCCCCCGTTTCCTGTCTTCATTGAGTAGCTTCCTGTCCATCTCCATGGTGATGCAGACTCGGCTGTCATTCAAAGAGGCCCAGCCTGGGTGTTGGGAGGCAGCACATGCCCCCTGGTGGGCTCCTCTGGGCAGTGCAAGTCAGGGACCCCAGCCGGGAGCAGCGACCCCACCTGAGCCCCGGGCCCGCCCCCAGGTGCACGGCGGCTTGCTTCAGATCTTCCCCGAGGGCCGGCCTGTGGTCGCCAACATCGAGCCGCTCTTCGACCGGCTGCTCATTTTCTGGTCTGATCGGCGGAACCCCCATGAGGTGAAGCCGGCCTATGCCACCAGGTATGACCCCCTTCCAGGTATTCCCGCGGTGCCCGCTGAGTCTAGCCAGGAACTGGAAATGAGCGGGGAATAAGGTGTGTGTATGGGGGTGCTAAGAGAACAACCCGGCTCCGAGGGTGGGCAGTGGCTAGTGGATACTGGGACTGTCGTAAAGCGTCCCTCGTTGCCCCGGGGGGGCGTCTCTGGTCTGCAGGTACGCCATCACTGTCTGGTATTTTGATGCCAAGGAGCGGGCAGCAGCCAAAGACAAATACCAGCTAGGTACGTACCTGTTGTCCCCCTCCCTCACAACGCCCCTCTCTCTCAAACCCTGCCCAACTGGCCTGGACAGCCACCTCTACCTGTGCCCCCAACGACCCCCATTTCTCCCTTCTCCTGGCCTCCCCCACCCCACACCCTTGGTCTAATGACTGGTCTCCTGCCACCTCCAGCGTCAGGACAGAAGGGAGTCCAAGTGCCGGTGTCACAGCCAGCCCCGCCCACTTAGTGACCAGCCCCTCGAGCTGCATGGACAGACCAGAGAGCCATGCTGGGGACCGCGCCTTCCCCACCACCACTGCTGCTGCCGCCTTTGCCTCTGCCCTGGCTGGTGTGGGGACCAAGGAGGAGAGCCTCTCTACCCTGTGATGGGCTTTTGGCCTGGGCTCCTGACCTGGGGGTCCCATCACCGGAGCTGGGGGTAGGCCTGTGCCCTGCTCTGGCGGTGTGGAGCACCGGAATCGGGCAGTGCCATTTGCTGCCAGAATGCCCGATTTGGGGTGGGGCAAGTCATGGCCTCTTGCTGACAAAGGATTGTGGGGAGCCGGGGGTGTGCGTGCACCCCAACCCTCCCTCCCTCCCTCCCTCCAGCCTGGAATGTGAAGTGACTCCCCCACCCCTTGGGCTAGGGCACCTTTCCGAGGGGGGGGCTACCGCTGCCTGGGTAGAGGAAGAGGGCCCTGAAGGAGCATGAGTGTAGAGATTCAGCCAAGAAAGAAATAAAAGTTTACCTCAGCTGCACCCACCTGACCCTCAGTCCCTCCCACCCACCCAGCCAGCCGTGGAGGCAAGGATCAGCTTCCACCTGCGGTTTAGAGCTTTTATTGAGCGAGCCTTGGGCGGGCGGCTTGGTGGTGGGCCTGGCCTCAGCGGGCCTCCAGGCGGAGCTGGAAGGCCGGCGGCAGGTTACCCAGGCCGGTGTACCGCGGAGTGAGGTCCATGTGGGCCGAGGTCCCCACAGGGAGCAGGCGGAACCGCTGCAAGATGGCCGTGAGGAAGAGGAAGATTTCGGCACGGGCCAGCCCAGCCCCCAGGCACATCCTTTTGCCTGAGGACACGGGGAGCACTCAGCACCCAATGCTGCAGTGGCAGCCCCGTCCCGACCACTGCCCCGCCCCGCCCTGCCCGTGTCGGACCTGGACCAAAAGGCATGAAGGCGTCGTTGCCCTTGAACTCTCCCTGGTCGTCCAGGAAGTTGGTGGGGTTGAAGTAGTCCGGGTCCTTGAACTGAGTGGGGTCGCGGTGCGAGGACACCAGCAGGGGCATCACGAAGGTGCCCTGCGGGTCAGGGCATGTGTAAATAGATGGATGGGGAAGTGGCAAACGCGAGCCACCTGCGGTAGAGGATCTCTTAGGAGGCCTGCTTTTCTCACCCCCACTCGCGCAGGCTGTGTGTGGCAGTAACGCTGCAGGCTGGGGCCCAGGCCAGCAGTTGTGCATGAGAAGGTCTTGTGTCCCTGCCCCCCAGTGCAGAGCCCCAATCACCACTCCCCATTCTACCCTGCTCAGTGGCTACCTTAGGCAGGAAGTGGCCACGCAGGTAGGCGTCGCGGGTGAGGGCGCGCGGCAGGCCGAGCGGCAGCACGCTAATGAAGCGCTGGATCTCATGCAGGACGGCGTTGGTGTAGGGTAGCCGAGCGCGGTCCGCCTGCCTCGGGGCGCGCATCCGACCTACCACGGCGTCCAGCTCTGCCTGCACCTTCGCTGGGGCGGGCAGCAGAGGCTGTGAGCCAGGCGGGCATGCCTGGGACCCCAGTCCCAGTCCCTCCCTCCGCCCAGCTGGCAGACCTGCCACTTCTGGGTACTTGAGGAGGATGAGAAGCCCGTAGCGCAGGGTGGTGCTGGTGGTCTCCGTGCCACCGAAGAAAAGGTTGTGTGTGGTCATCACCAACGTCTCCTCCTGGAAGTGGCTGTCTGCCTCCTGCCTTTCCTGCGCGGGGTGGGGGTGGGTGGGTGGGACATGGACATGCTGTCTCGGGCCGGGGCCCTGCAGACAGGCGGGTCCAGGCGAGCTTAGGGGGGCAGCAGGGGTCCCCACCTTATCCATCTGGTCGAGGAAGCAGTCGATGAAATCGCGGGGCTCCCCAGGTTGCCGCGTCTGCCTGTGCCGCTGGACTTGTTCGGAGATGAAGACTCGCAGCTCTGCGAAGTTCCGGAAGATTCGATGGTGCGGGCCGGGCAGCCAGTCCAGGAGAGAGGGGAAAATGTTGTACATCTGGGGAGACAGGATCTCAATAGGACTTCAGACAAGGCCAGGCAGTCTCAGTTTCCCCATGGGGAGATTGGACCAAGACTAATATGCTAGGTGCTTGTTAGGGCCCATCGAGTTGATTCCAACTCGGAGCAATAACGGAGGGAGACCATCCTGCCTGGCCTTACACCATCCTCAGTGGTCTGCATGGTGGAGTCCACGGTGGTTACAGCACAGGGCCAATCCCTCTTGTCGAGGGGCTGCCCTGTTCTAGGGATCCCCTGTCTGTATCCTCAGGGCCTGAAGTAAGACTCGGGGAGAGCTCAGACCAGCCCTTACCACCCACCTCGCCCCATCTGGAGCTCATGATGCGGAAGTTGTCACCGAAGAGGTCCAGGAGCCGCAAGAACTGCGGGTCCCCGTAGCCATAGCGCTTGCCGAAGACCACAGAACAGATCACATTAGAGACAGCGTGATCGAGCAGCTGCCTCGGGTCGAATGGGACTCCTGGGGGCGAAGACAGGATGGGGTATGGGTGGGTTTACAATGCCTTGTCTGTGCCACCCCCCCCTGCCTCCTAGATAGCTCTTGGCTTTACTGGCTAGGCTCCCTCAGCGTTCCCACCTGGGTCGGACCACAAACCCAAGGATAGAACTGCCCCTGTGAGTTTCGGACTATATGGGAGTGGAAGGCCCTGTCTCTCTGGTGGTATCAGCTGGCTGGTGGTATCAAACTGCTGACCTTTTGAATCTTACAGCCCAGCATGTCACCCCTACGCCAACAGGGTCGCACCTTGGGTGGCTTGAAACTCATCCAGCAGATTCGCAGCCTCCTCCACCACGCGCTCCTCGATGGTCCGCGTACCCAAGCCGAACTCCTTCAGGGCTCCCAGGGCGAAATTGCGCAGTGCCCGCCAACGCGGCCCATTAGAAAAGACGATGCCTGAACAGCTCAGAAAGGGGGATGGGGGGAAGGGCGCTAGTTGACCTTCAGCCAAGCGTCCAACCTCGTGGTCCTGCCCTCGCAGTTCCTTTCCTGATCTCGAGGCTGCCATATGGGCTGCCCACAGCTAGTCCCCTCTTGCGCATTGAGTGGCTTTGGCCCTACCCATACGTTGTCTCCGGCCCTGACCACAGCCCTCTGGCCCGTTAACCAGGGTCTTCTCTCCCAGGGAGTGCGCGCTGATTTAGCCCTTAGTCCCTCCGGAACCTCAGCCACCCCCCCTTCCCCAGCCGCGCCCCCTTCCACCCGCTTTAGCCTAGCCCCTCCATCAGGCCAAGCCCCCTCTCCCCTGGTCTCACCGTTGCCGCGCGTGAAGCGTTCAAAGGCGGCCATGGTCCCGCGGCCGGCGAAGGTGTCAGCCTGCAGCACCAGGCCGTCCCGCAGCGCCTCGTAGCCACACAGCACCACCGCGGGCCGCGGGCCAAGCCACATGGTGAACACCGGGCCCCAGCGTCGCGACAGCTACGGGAGGCGGCACTCAGAGGGTCCCCTTCTGCCTCCCTGCTCCCCTTCTCCCCGCCTCCAGGGAATCCAGAGGCCCACTCCCAGCCCGTGCCTCCTTCCCACCCAAAAGGTCCGACCTCTGTTCTCAAGCCCAAGAGTTTAGCCCCTGACACCTCCCCACCCCCCCCCCCCCCCCCCCCCCCCCCCCCCCCCCCCCCCCCCCCAGCCTGGAGTCCAGCCTTCAGCTCCCTGCACTCTGCTTCTCAGGACCTAGAAGTCCAGTTCTTTAGTTTCCTATACCCTCACACGGATCAGTGCCTCTTTCCCTTGAACCAAGGGTTCAGATTCCCAGGAGCCCTGGTGGTGGTGTGGTTATGTATTTGGGCTGCTAACCACAAGGTTGGTAGTTCAAACCCACCAGATTCTAGAGGGAGAAAGAGGAAGCTTCCTATTGCTGTAAGAGTTAAAGCCTCAGAAACCCACAGGGGGTAATGCTACCCTGTCCTGTAACCCTCTGAGTCAGCATCAGCTCTACAACATTGTGTTTTGGATCTATTGAGTAAGCGTTAGCTGTTAACCGGAAGATCAACATTTTTAAACCCACTTGTCACTCCTGCAGATTGACAGTTTCAGACTGACTATTCACAGCAACCCTACAGAACAGGGTCGAAAGGTCCCTGTGAGTTTCTGAGACTGTAACTTCATGGGAATAGAAAGCTATTTTTTGGCGAAGAGGCTGGTGGTTTTGAACTGCTGACCTTGTGGTTAGCAGCCCATCGCAAAACCACTACACCACCAGGGCTCCTCAGAAACCCTAGAGATGGTCATAAGACTTATCGGGATTGACAACACAGAAGTGGGCTTGGTTGTGGGGTTTGAACCTCTTTACCCTGGAACCTGCCTTCTTGCCAAGTCAACCCCCGCCCCCCCCTACCCCCGGCACAGTCCAGGAGTCCAGACCCCCTCCCCGTAGATGGGACTTGCCACCAGTCTCCTCCTCCCTTAGGACTAGGTCCCCAGACCGGCAGCTCCCCTCCCCCAGCCCCTTTCTTTTTCTGCAGCCTTGTCCCCTGGGGTCTGAGCCCTGAGCTCTGGCCTCATCCGGGGAATCCAGAGTGGTCACGCCCGCGTGGCCTCCACAGAACCCAGAATTCGGTTTCCGATGCCCTGTCGACTACCTCCATCAGGGTATGGTCCAGTCGTCCAGACTGCAGCTGCAGCAAGTTCCCCAGTAATGGGAGCGCCAACGGCCCGGGAGGCAGGGCAGCCGGAATCCTAGTGCCCTTCACAGCCCCGGCCCGCCACAGGAGTACCAGCACCAGGAGTAGCAACAGCAGCGCCACAAGGCCACTGCCCATCATGCTGGTGATGCTGCCCGCCCTGGCCCTTCAGCTCTACTTAAGTCCCAGGGGGTCTTGGGTGGGGCGGGGGCGGGGACCAGGGTGGGAGGGGAGAGTTCTGTAGGCTCTCACTGGGTAGGTTCCCCAGCCTCACCTCACGCCCAGCCCCAGCCCTCCCGGGGCACCTGTCTTTATCCTTTTTGCCTGCCTCAGCCTGCACGATGGGGCCATCTCGCTGCACCAGCATTTTCAGGTGAAGACCCCTGGGCAACAGGTGTACCTTTTTGAGCGCCTTGGGGGCCATTCTGTGCACTCCGACATCCACTGGCCACCTCAGGGTCTGTGACCTCTAAATGCCATGGCCCGTGTCATGTCTCTGTTTCTAAACATATTCTACACTCCCCTCCCCCTCCCCAACGTTCCCATCAACCTGGCATGTCTGTGCTCGGTACCTGTGATTCTGGGAGACTCACACCTGATCCCTGGTCACGTCCAGGCTTGCAACCCTTGGAGACCTGCGTGCTGTGCCTGTCTATGGAGGTGCCCTTGAGTCCCCTAGCCTCCTGGGCATGCCCCTCCGGTTGGCACTTACTTCCCTGCCTGTCCTGGGACACCTGGGTGCCTTCTTGTTAATTACCTCCGGGTCACTGCATGCTGACATCTCTATGGCCAAGTCATTGCCCATGTGCCCTGCTCATACTGCTGGGCAGCATCGGAGGCAGGTTCTGGAATGCTCACTTCATCGGGCCTGGGAAGACCCAGGCAGAAGCAGACCCAGGTGCTCATAGGCCAGGACTTGGGGAGAGGGTGGTTGAATCAGTCCTGAGGTCAGACTGTTCAGGGTTGGGGCTCATCTTCCTCTGTAGGGGCTGCGGGGATGGTGGTAAGGGCATCTGATCCAGCCTTGCACTGGGTGCCTGGCACAGGGCCAGGGCCTGGGGAGGGGAAGAGGGGTAGGCTTGTTCCTGGAAGTCTCTCTTGCTCTCTATAATATAGGAGGGGACTTCAAAAAGTTCTTGGAAAAAATGGAAAGGAAAGCTAATGGAATATCTCCACCAAGTTAATGGACCCCAAACCGGAACTCACTGCCATCGAGCCAAGTCTGGCTTACAGCAACCCCACAAGGACAGGGTAGAACTGCCCTGTGGGTTTTCGAGACTGTAAATTTTGGGGGGAGTAGAAAGCCTTATTGTGCTCTCGAGGAGGGGGTGGTGATTCCTCACAGGTGTCCTTGTGATTAGCTGTGGTACTGACAGCATCTCCTGTCAACTTGATCGAAGGGATAGAGTCTAACCTGTCAATCAGGTCCTAGCCAGCGATGACTCTGTGGGGATGGCCTTCTGAGGATTCTGGAACACGCACTCTCTAGGCCTTCCCTTTCCTGCTGTTGAGACACTCAGAGCTGGAGGGGCCACGTGGAGACCCACACCAGCGCTGAGATGCTTCCACCACCACTGAATCCACAAGACCTTCTACCCACTGGCCTGTGATCTTCCTGCATTTGGCATCATTGAATGCGCTGTGTAGGTCTAAAGGGAATTTTATGGGTTAGTAGCAGACATATGGGCTAATCTCAGACTTATGGGCTTGATCTGGACTGGGCTGGGATGGTTTCTCAATACACGATTGCTCTTTGACGTAAAGCTCTTTCTTAGACACAGGAGTGTCTCTGGATTTGTTTCTCTAGTCAACCCGGATTCACACAGCATCTCAGCGTGTACCCAAGGCCACCAGGGCAGCCTCAGTTCATTTCATTGCTCAGTGTCTCCCTTGAGCTCCGTCGCTGAGACCGTGTTCCTTCTGTCTCTGTCCATTTCTCTCTCTGCCCATCTGTCTGTCTCGGTTTCTTTTCCTTAGACTTCATGCTTTGGACACGTTCCCAGGGAAAAAGAGGAAGGCCCACGATAAGACTGATGGACCCAGTGGCTACGATGATGGGCCCGAACTGAAGAACAATTGTGAGGGTGGACACCATCCTTTCTGGTGCGTGGGGGCTGCTAGGAGCTGGTGCCGACTCGCTGGCACTGAACAACCCCGTCTTCTTGCCTGTCTCTGTAGGTCTCTCCCTCTTCCCCACCTCTGTCTTTTCCTCTCCGTGCATCGCTGCCAGCACAGTCTCCCGCACGCTCTCTGTCTCTGCCTCTTTCTCCATCCGCAGTTCGATCTCCCCCTCTGTGTGTTGTTCTCCAAACCTGTCCCTCCCCGTCTCTTCTTGCCTGTCAGCTTCTTTTTTCTTCTTCTGTCCAAGAACCTGGACCCTCGCAGGCGTCAGAATGGACTTGACCACGGTCAGAGGCGCTGTCTCCACGGCCAGGAGGGATGTGACGCGTGCCCTGAGCCCGGTCCTTCGTCATCCAGCCCACTGTGCCAGGCTCTCTAGTGGCACCTCTTGGTGAGGGTGTCTGGCTTTCGCGCCAAGTCCTCATTGTTTCTCCTTAATTTTTGCATCTCTTTGTCCCTCAGGAGTGTCACTTCTTCAAGGGCAGGGGTTGTGTCTGTCCCCTCAGCTCCTAAAACAGTGCTCAAGACCCAGAGACCACAGTCTTGGCTGTCCAGTGTCTTCTGACTCTTGGCCATCCCATGTGTATCAGACTAAAGCTGTGTGCCAAAGTTTGTTTTTTTTTTAAAATAAATCACTTTATTGGGGGGCTCTTACAGCTCTTACAGTCCATCCATCCATCCATTTGTGCATAGGTTGCCATCATCATTTTTGAAAAATTTTCTTTCTACTTGAGCCCTTGGTATTGACTCCCCTTTTTGGCACCACCCCCAAAGCCCAAAGGGTTTTCAGTGGGTGATTTTTTATGGGGACAGATTGCCAGGCCTTTCTTCCGAGGTGCCTGGGTGGACTGGCACCCCCAGCCTTCCAGTGAATTAGTCACATGCGGTGAGCCACTCACCCAGAGACTCCTCAGCACACAATAGGTGCTCGTGAAATCCTTGTTGAGCGAAGAAGTGGGCAGCTCTCTTTGTCCCCGTCTCTCTGATGGACTTTTCTCTGTCAGTCTCTTTCTATAGATGCCTGTGACTAACTCTCCCTCGTCCCTTCCATCCCCGTCTCATCTATCAAGGCCTCTCTCAAATTCCTGTCCCCCCACCCCCTTGGTCTTGCATGATCTCTGCTCTCTCAGTGTCAGTCTCAGAATCTCTTTGCTTCCCTCTTTCTGGGTATCTCTCGCTCCTTTCCTGTCTCTGCGCCTGGTGTTCCCCCTTTGTCTCTCTCAGCCTCACTCCCAGAGTCACCCTGGTGGCACAGTGACTTACACCTTGGGCTGCTAACCACAAGGTCTGCAGTTTGAAACCAACCAGCTGCTCCTTGGGAGAAAGCGGAGGCTTTCTCCTCCTGCGACGACGAGTTTCCATCTCAGAAACCCACAGGGGCAGTTCTGTGAGTCGGCCCCCGACCCGACCGCAGCTTGGTTTCCTATTGGAGCTGCTGGGGGAAGTGTTGGGCTTTTAACCACAAGGTCAGCAGTTTGAATCCCTCCTCCCACCCCCAGCCGATCCTCTGGAGAAAGAGGAAGCTTTCTACTCCTGTACAGAAGTTCAGCCTCAGAAACTCATCAGGGGAACTTCTACTCAGTCCTGTGGGGTTACTCTGTGTCAGAACTGATTTTCGGGCAGTGGGTGTAGTTTTAGATTAGTCTCTCTCCCGGTCCTGGTTTCTCAGGAACGCTGGCTGCTCTGTCTCCTGCTGTCTCTCGGTTTCCGTGTCTCTCTCGGCTAACGCGCCAGTTTAGGATCTTTCTGGCCGTCTCTCAGGTGTTGGTTTCCCAGGGCCTCTGTGTCTCTCCCTTTCTCCTCCATCTCTGCATCTCGGTGGCTGTGCCCTGGGGTGGACTCTGTGGTCTGGGTCTGTGGTGGGAACAGCGTGGGGATTAAGCTGCTGACGCCCCAGGTGGGGACCGCCCATAAGCCTCCCCTCAGCCCGTCTATGCTCAGCACCTCACGTCCCAGCTGCTGGCTGACCTGGGAGACATTGTTGCCCCTCGAGGACCTCTGCCGATGACTGATCAGGAGTCGATACCAAGGGCTCAAGTAGAAAGCAACTGTTTTGAGAGTAATGAGGGCAACAAGTGTACAAATGTTGGCTGGGTGGGTGGGTGGGTGGTGGCAGCCTCGCTGTCTGTGTTGTGGCACGCCTGCTTGCCCAGTTAAAAGGGCTGCCATCAGCAGGATGTCAGGGTGTCAATGCTGCCCCCCACCCCCACCCCCGCAAGGAGGTCACACCCAAAAGGGGGAATGGTAGGTAAAGGAGGTAGGAGGAGTCAGGGAGAGAGCCTTACTGGGTCAGCCTGGGTCTCATATCCCTCCCTTTCGCTGGTCATTCCCTCTCTGCTTTTGTTCCGTCTGTCTCTGGGCTGGACCGCTGGCTCGCTCCACCTCCAGTCTCCTCACCACCCAGCTCTGTCTCTGCATGGCCCGTCTTTCCAAGTCTCTGATGGCTCTCTCCGCCTCTTCCTCCAGGGCTTTGCCTGATCAGGTGGGAGGGGTGGTGGGTATGGGGGTGGGTGGCCTTCAGATCCCAGCTCTGCCCTTCTCGGGTTGGGTGACCTCGGGCAAGCCGCTGCACTGTCCTGGGCCTCAGTTTACTCCGCTGTGAAAATCTGAAAGGATTATGGCTTTTCTTCCTAGGGCCCATCCGGGGAGTGGATTCAGGCGCACGGCGGACTGTGCTCGGGCTTTTCAGTGGCGGATTTTTATTTATCTTTTTAAGGTTCATCACCAGGCCTTTCCTCTAAGGCCCCACGTTTCAGCCAGCAGCCTGCAGCCTGTGGGCGCTAACCATTCACTCCACCCAGGGACTCCGCCCTTCCTTACAGGGAGGATGGATGAGGCCGGGGGAGCATGAGGGCAGCCTGGCACTAAGTCAGGCGCTCTGGGGTGGTGTGGGTTCTGAGCTGGGTAATGAACCACCACGCCAATCATTCGAAGCGACCAGACGTTCCACGGGCGACAGCTGAGGTTTTCTGCTCCCCAAAACATGGACAGTCTCAGAAACCCACAGGGGCAGTTCTCCTCGCAAAGGGTGGCTAGGAGATGGAATCGACTCGCTGGCAGTGAGTTTGGTTTGGGGGTTTGGTGTCTGAGCTGGCTCTTGCTCACGCCCAGGCGTCTGAGCTTGGTGTCTCTCTGGGGCAGTGCCCTTGCCTCCCTGCCTTCAGGCCACCTCGGCCTCCACCTGCCAGCCTTCACACACCAGCCTCTCCCACTGCGCACCCTCCGGAGGGGCAGGCACTGTGGTGGGATTCAAATAATTTAACAGCCAGTTCGAGGCCCTACTGACGGTTTTAATATATTAAAAAGGTATGCCAACAGGTAGCTTATTATTTTATAAGTTACTACCTTCCTAAGAACAATCAAACTAGATTACGTGAGGGTTACACAAATGGACGTGAGATTTTCACCCTGGGCGGTTGCCCAAGCCTCCCACCTTAGCGGGAACCCTGGTACGAATGCCAATTTAACAACTGGTTCTCCGAACTCAACAACAACAAAAACAACTAGATATCTGTTCTGATGAACCAGTGAGAACCGGCTGAATCACACCACTCAGTGGACAACCCGGCCCCCCACCCGCCCCCAATTTTACTGCCATCGAGTCAGATGTCAACTCATAGTGACCCTATAGGACAAGGTGGCACTGCCCTCCCCCCACCCCCTGTGAGTTTCCAAGACTATAACTCTTCCCGGGAGTAGAAAGCCTGATCTTTCTGGCAGAGAATGGCAGTTGCTGGTTTCAAACTGGTGGGCTTGTGGATTGCAGCCCAATGCGTTACCGCGATCGCTCCAGGGCTTGAGGGGTGGTGGTGGTGGTGGCGATGGGGACAGACCTCTCCAACCGTGTAGTCTGTCTTTGCACCCAGACTTCCCCTCCCGCAGTCCGGAGGGGCTATCCCCCTCCACCTGATTCAGCCAAACCAGGGTTCAATCTATTAGAGAGAAAATTTATTAGGAAATGATACAAGATGCCCAGCAAAAGGTGCGCCTGGGGGGTAAGTTCTGTGAGTGAAACGGGGCGTGCACATCTTTCTTTGCCCCTGTGGGGCGCAGACCCCCCCAAGGGAAGTGGAAGGCAGAGGGGG